GTGACACAGAGGTCCCCACAGGACACAGGATGAGAAGCCACTGTGACACAGAGGTCCCCATAGGACACAGGATGAGAAGCCACTGTGACACAGAGGTCCCCACAGGACACAGCAAGAGAAGCCACTGTGACACAGGTCCCCATAAGACACAGGATGAGAAGCCACCGTGACACAGAGGTCCCCATAGGACACAGGATGAGAAGCCACTGTGACACAGAGGTCCCCACAGGACACAGGATAAGAAGCTGCAGTGGCAAAGAGGCCTCCCAGGGAGTGGACCCCACCTGAGCTAGCTGTCAAAGGCTGTTCAATCAATTTACGACAGAGGCATGAAGCCCAAAGCCAAGATGTCTGAGCCAGGCTCTCTTTGCAGGCACAGGGGATACCATGGTCCTTGTCACCCCCTCTATGTTGTGTATTGGTGTCTCTTATGAAGGCATCCCTGGTTGCATTTTGGGCCCACTTTTATCCAGTGTGAACCCATCTTAGCATGCAAAGACTTCTCGGGTAAGGTGGTATTCACTGGAGGTTTGGACTAGCGGGTGCTAGTTTAAGCATTGTGAGTTACCTTACTCAGATGATGATACTTGTATCTGATGCCTGTGAAGAGGCATCAGCTTTGTTTTGAATGGAGCGCTTGGTTAAGCTTTAGATTTTTCTGGGAGGCTTTTTTTCTCGTTTTGTTGCTGCTGTTTGTTGTGGTTTTGTTTTTGAGGCAGAGTCTTCTGGCCCCAAAGCTTCAAACTCCTTATGTAGCTGAGGCTGCCCTTGAACTCCTGGTACTCCTGCTTCCACCTCTCCAGTGCTGGGATATAAGGTATGCACCATCATGTCTGTCGTGGATATTTTTCCATTTTCAGGCTGGCATGGATAGTGGAGCATAAGTGAAGCGAACGCCCATGAAGCCACCTCCAAACCACCTGGAAAGGGAAGGCTCTTCTGCCTGTGTCTACATCTGAAGATTTCTGAGTTTTGCTTGTTTGGTGCTTTCTGAAAACTTAGTTGAAGACTCCATTTGGTCTCTTCCTTTCAAATGTTAATTTTGTTACAAATGTCTACTGGTTAATCCTCTTTTAAAATGACCATATGTGATAGATTGATGTATTATACAGCTATAGTAAGATAGTGTAACATCGTGTGGAGACAGATGAGGCCAGGAACACAGTGGACAGTGGAGAATTGTGAAGACAGATACCTGCACATGTGGAGAGAGAGCACAATTCATCTTCTGGATAGCAGTCTGTGACTGAAGCAGTTGCTACAAGCTGCACTCTGCATAGGTCTTTGTAAGGGTTTCTGTTGCTCCGTTGTTGTTTTTGTTTTTGTTTTAACTGACTGAAAGCAGGTTGGGGAGGATAAGATTTATGTCATCTTAGAGTTCCACATCATAGTCCATCACCGAAGGCAGTGAGGTTAGGAGCCTGGAGAAGTAACTGATAGAGAGGCCACAGAGGAACACTGCTTACAGGCTTGCTCAGCCTGCTTTCTTATAGAATCCAGGACCACCTGTCCACAGGTAGTGCCACCATCAATGTTGTGGGGCTCCCATGTCAATAATCCATCAAGGAATCCCACCACAGGCTTGCATGTAGTAGAGTCTGAAAACATCTACTAGCTGTGTTAAACTGTAAACTTACCATGGGAACGATGCAGCTGTTTAAAGAACAGAATGAGGACAGGGTCCTCTCAAGCTGGGGACTGATGACTTGGTATACTCACTCTGGAAAGCAACTTGGTCACACCTGTCACTGCCTGAGTAATCAGCTTATATGCCATAGAAATTCCACATACTGAATTTGTCCAGGATAGTTTTGAACATCTTCTCATATGAATAGTGTACACTTGGATTTTAAATGTTCTTATTGCTTCAAAGACAACACAGTGTGTGTGTGTGTGTGTGTGTGTGTGTGTGTGTGTGTGTGTGTGTCTATGTGTGTGTCTGTGTCTGTGTACACATACACATGCCCTGCACATATTAAAATGTCTTTTTAGTAACCCAATTCTGGATGAGATTGGACCTCCTGTCGCTCTTGGAATTTAGGATACAAAGCCATTTCCCAGTAGGTGCCTTGGCCCTTATTGGGCTTGTGCACAGATCAGTTCAGTCATCCTCAGAAAACTTGACAAGTGTCTAACACTTCCAGACAGTCATTTGCAAGGCAGACCATGTCTCTGCTCACCTGGGACTAAAACTTGGAGGCCCCCTTGTTGATCCTGTGAGTAGGAGGAATGTCTGTTTTTATAGCTATCCAGAGGCATCAAAGGAAGAAGAGAAAGGCTGAGAAGGAGAGAGGAGCCGGAACGCTGCAGTACATTTATGAAAACCTCAGCTTCCCAGAGTCGAGGGGAGTCTTGTCCAGCCCAGTCCCTCTACACCGCTGCTTTGCTAAATTACATTCTTTGTCAGCTGACTCTTGGATACTTTGAAAGTTTTGTCTTCCAGCCTCTAATCATCCTGAATTTCAGTGGATTATTAAGTGCAGTTTGATAGAGAACTCTCGCTTGAATTTAGGGTTGCTTATAAGAAGGATATGACAGGTTTACATTATAAAATAGAACCCCACAGAGCGCTCTTGAAGGCTCCCCTTGTCTAAACTGTGGGCACCATGGGCACCAGCTTCTGTACCGTTAGCGACATCATCTTCATCCAGAACGTTCTCATTCAGATCACTGTGTTTGCTAAACCTGGTTTTGATCACTGCATTAGGTCACTATTGATCTACTGAACTAACCCTAATTTAAAATCTCCTAACAGGAGAAATAGATCATACAGGTTTCAACATTATTGAATATTTTTTAAAGATTGATTTTATTTTTACTTATGTATGTGTTTGTGTCTGTGTGGTGCAGGCATGTGCATGTGGGTACTCTCGGAGTCCACTGAGGGCCTCAGGAACTGTGGTTACAGGCAGTTATGAGCCTCTCTTTGTGGGTACTGAGGGCTGAACTGCAGTCCTCTGCAGAAGCAGTACCCACTCTTGACCGTAACTGATGAGCTGTCTCCCCAACCCCTTCAGTTTTTTTTTTTTTTTTTTTTTTTTTTTTTAACATAGTCCTCTCCACCCCACAACACTTGGCTAATTGAGGGTGTCACCTCATTCAGCATCCCTCCCGGCTCCAAGCGTGATGTAACTGGTTGATTTCCTTTCTGTGCATCTGTGGTATCGATAGGATCTTTGAGGGGTTTTGATCTCTTTTTTAAGAACCAGCATATTTGTACTCATATTTTATAAAATCATTCTGATAGTCTACCTACAACTTCTCCGGTAACTGCAGGCCATAGTCAGTTGTGAGAGCATAATGTCACTCTCACAGCCCAGATAATAGGTCAGCGACAGTGATTGCATGGGCAAGATGGTTGGAAGTCCCACTGGAGTCTTCTCACACAGAAAGCCCCTCCTGGTGGTCTCATTGGCATCATATTGGCTTTCTCCCAACTGAAGTTTCTCTCTCTCTCTTCCTCTTTCTAAACAATTAACAGCTCGATCAAGTCACCCGCCAACGCAGCCTGTCCAGCCTGGAGCTGTTCCTGTCCTGCGCCCAGAAGCAGCTGAGTGCTCTCATAGCTACGGAGCCTGTTGACATTGAATAGAGACAAGCTGGCCGACCCGTCCCTGTCATTAAGCCTGCCTACTCTGAAGCTGTTCCTCTCCTGCGCCCAGAAGCAGCTGAGTACTCTAAGGTCCATGGAGCCTATTGGCATTGAATAAAGGGAACATGACAGGCTACTTGCCCTGGCCATTGTGTCAATCACTAGACTTCTAGTAGATGCTGTGACTGATGCTTTTGTTTTCTGATTAAACAGCTGGTTTCTAGGTCAAGGATGAGCCAAAGCAGTATCTAGAAGAACCATCAATGGATCTAACTTATTCTCTATTATTTTGTTACAAGTAGAATGAAAGAATATATATGACCCAGAGTTCATGGGGTAGGAAAGCACTACGGCTCCAGGTGGCCTGGTGACACTGTGGTGAAGGACCTTTTGAAGCCTCGTGGTGATTTGTGTCACCACCATTCACTTGTTTCTGAGGAGTCAGTGGATAGAAGCACTGACGTGGTCATTGTTGTGACTGACCTGACTGCTTCTCTAAAGGTGAATCTGTGCATTTTCATTGATTTATCAAAAATAAACAACACTAGCTGACCAGGCTTTGAGCAGCTGCCACATTTAAACTTTGGGCGTGTGGCACAGGCTTGCTTCCTGCCTTTCTTCAGAGGCCTGAAAATCATTTTTCATAATCTAATCAATCTCTAGAAAGAACATAACTTGGAGTTCTAGACATCTATGGGAATTTAATCAAATATCAGATATATGGGTTCATCGGGGTGTTCTTAATTCACGAGCAGTGTGCTCCAGTATGAAATCATGAGCAGTTTCAACATCAAAACTGACAACAGTGTACCTATGCAGACACTGTGTCTCTGAAATGCTGCTGCTTTCAGGGCTTTGTACTTCTCTGGGATTTCTTGGTATAATAAAAGAAACTCCAAAAAGTTGCTTGGTTGTCATCATGTGTTCTATTTCTCTTTGCTATTTCTTCCTTCCTTCTCCCCCGACCCCTTGAGTCAGGGTATTGCTGTGTAAAGTCCTGCTTTAAAATCAGAGAGACCCACCTGCCTCTGTCCCCTAAGTGTTAGGAAAGGTATGCTCTACTGTGCCAGGCCACAGTCTATTAATTCTTCACAAGTATCATTTCTTTCTCAAATTTTTGTACCATGAATGATTGTGCTTTGTGAGCACCTCTCATTAAAGAATGACAGTGTTTACCAAGAATCTTATAATTATTATCATAGGAACTTAAAATTTGGAGTAAGAAAGCCATTGGCCTGAGTTAGGACAAGTGAAAAAGGGGGGGTGTTTTGAATTTAGAAACAAGCCAGTACGTCTGGGTCCAGTATTTAAGGTCACTTGACTCTTTCCAAATAAATGTCAGATACCATCACACATCACTCAGATGGGCCAGCCAGCCGTAGGTTAATGGGGGGTGTAGGTCACTGTCGCTAAGGTCCAGAGAGGGCAAAGGTATCGGGCAAGTATCTAGTCTTGTCTCTGCTTCATCCCTGTCACCCCTGACCACCACAGGATACGCTTTCCTTTTTCTTCTTGGGTTTCCAGCTTTGCTTTCTATACAAAGTAATTACTCTCTGAAATAACTTGGAATCTGTTAGATCTGTCAGCCCATGGGTGCTGGGGACACCCACCAGGTCCAATGCCATTTCACTTGGATTGCTGTGATGCTTTTTCCATGAGGATGTTCTCAAAGATGCCTGGAACTCTATTTGTGATATCCGATGCGTGTGCAGGGATTCTTGATGCTGAATTAGCTACTAGTGTTCAGTGACATTTAAAGTATATTTTCAATTAAATGTACTGTGAGTTTTGCTCTGGTTATCCAAATTGCCTAGAGCATCTCTGGTTTCATACCCCAGGAGAATTAGATGATCAGGCACTTCTTACTGCAAAGGTATGACTCTATCCTTGAGACGTGGACCTCAGTCTCACCTCCTCAGCCTGTCCTCCGGCTCTCCTACCTTTGAGTTCAGGTGAATAAAGAAGTAAAAGGTTCAGTGGGGCCTTTTTGACAGATGAATTACTTTCAGATTACAGGTGTGGCACTACTGTGCGTCAATGGAAAAGACCCCCAGCTTCCCATCTTTGTAAGCTCTGTGCCAAACATTTTCACATGATATCAGTAACCATGGATAGGAGGTGACGTGTTGGAGTTTATTAAAGGAATATGTCTTGAGTTTCTCGTGTGGGATTCAGATTCCAGCCTTTTAACACGGGGCTCTGCTTTGTCGGGCTGCTGAGCCCCCTCCGTGAGCAGCACCTCGTGTGTGTACTGGCGTGCCTTAGTTTTCTAAGTCGGACCTTTAGACACACAGCCTCGCCCACTGAAGTCTCGGGTTCCACATTCATGACAGAGAAATGATTTTTAGACTGTGAGACACTGCTGGTACTCTGTGTGATGAGCATTGCTGGAATGGCCATTGGTACACAGTGATAAACCCTACAAAACACAGGGATGACTGCCACAGGCAAGCAAACTATTAACTCCTTGATTGAGAGACCTGCAGGTGAAGACCTGACCCTTACCTGGACTCTTGTGAAAAGCTAATTTGGAACGTCACCTACTGAACCCTTCCAAGGTCAGATTGCTTACACCTTACGTTCTGAGTGTTGGACTCTATGATATAACCCAGGTGTTCTGGAAGTGTATGGGTCCACTTTCCCTTCAAGCTAGCCAGAGCCCATGTGATTTACTTGCGCCGAAGAAGCATCATTGAAGGCTGTTCAGAGAGCCCTGCCCATAATCCCTGGAGACCAGCACATACCAGCTTGTCTCCACATACTAGTCCACACTGGAGTGAAAAGACTCGGGTTTTTTGTAAGAAATGTTGAATACATCATTGAATCAGTCTCATCCGACAAAACTGAAAAAGTCACTGACCCTGAGACTGAGCAGACAGTGCCGTGCTTTGACATTTGCTGTCAACTCAGAATCAGTGGTGGTTTAAAGTCTAGTCCCTTAGCTAAGTGCTGACTCATGTTAAAAGTCCAAGGAGCTGACTCAGCAATTGCCCTGGGGTTGGTTATACTGCAGAGTCAGGTGTCCATAATTATAACTTCTTATGAATGCTTTTATATAGTTTTACAATTAAACTGCATTAAATTAGAAAATGTTGTGTTTAAACAGTAAAAACAAAAGCTCTGTTCACTGAAAAAAATTTATATAATAAATTTCAAAGGAGGAGGGATATACATACGTCTGGGAGGCATTTTTGAAACCAAGGGAAGAAGAGCTGGGTCTAAACCACTCTCATGCCAATAAACTGATCTGTTGTGTCCTAAAGACTACTGACAACCCAGAAAGCCAGTGCACTAAGCATGTACAGCCATGGACCACACACTAGGCCTCCCAGGCCCTTTACCTTAGCAATAGCAATAGTATCCCAGGCCCTTTACCTTAGCAATACCACCAATGTCAGGCAGTGAGGAGAAGCAGTTTGTGAGAGCTCACAGCTAAGACTGCCAGACACTGAAAGCCAGACCAACTAAAACTATTTCACTTTAAAACAAACACATTTTCACACTTGGCCCCTAACAAAAGCCTCTTTGGCCATCAGTCGCTGGTCTTTGTGCACAGAGGGAAAGCACTGGTCTTTCTCAGATCACTTCTGTCTGCTCTCTCCCCAGTAGCCTGCCTGCCATCATTACCGCTGTGTCATGTGGATCATCTGAATAATTAATTATTCTGATTAAATATGATTGTTATTATAATTCAGAGGTTATATCCTTTTTATGTTGTCTTCCTCCTGAAGAGAGAGCCTGTATCAGGTGTGTGTCCACATGTGTGTGCAGCTTGCACAAAGGCCAGTGGAAGACATCACATGTCCAGCACTATCACTTTTCTCCTTATTACCTTGAGACAGGGTCTCTCGACCTAGAGCTAGGCTGGCAGCCATCCCGCCCCATCCCCGCCACACACACACACACACACACACACACACACACACACACACACACACACAAATCATCCTCGTGCCTGCACACCAAGTGCTCTCAGGTGCTGAGCTGTCTCCCTGCCCCAGTTTTGGGTTGCATCACTAAAGCATTTTACGGTGGCTGCTTCTAGTGACCTCAATGTATGGTGACTTAACAATCAAATCAAGAAGTAAAACACTCCACCTTCAGAATGACTAATCAGCTAATAGTCAGCTAATAGATCCTGTCTACTAATTGATGGGATTTAGCTAAAATCATGGTATTCCTAAATGAGGTCCCATAAGAACCTGGAGCCACCTATATTTAACAGTAGCCAGCCTGTGATAAGTCACCAGGGCCTGAAAATTATAAAGCAAGTTTTTCATCTCCCAGTGTTGTTTGGTGACTAACCTACCTTGATAGGAATGTGCTGCTCACATTCACAAGGTTGTCAGAACCATAAGTGGGGAAGAATATATGAGAACTTCTATAAGAAATCCCAGGAAACATCTCCCCTTGAGAGGCTAAGCTCAGTGCTCCATCGGTGCAAGCAAGGAGGCTGAGGAGCAGTGTCAGGTCTTCTCATCCAAGGTAGGCTGTTACAGAGCCCAGGAATGGCAGGCGTGCATGAGGAGGAAAGCATCGGGTCAGGCTGGAGCAAAAGGTGTACAAGTGCTGCTTAAGACAGAGGCTGAGCCTAGACAGGAGCCTTCTGAATCCGTCTCTGATGCCCAGATGGGATACAGACTGGCCTTGTGTGGGGAGTATGCAGAAATCAACAAGCACACTCATTCAGAAGGCAGGAAAATTTGACTCAGTGCTGGCAAACATTCAGTTGTCGGAAGTCCGAAGCTGACTTAGAAAAAATAATAATACAGCCACAGAATGTACAAATCGTTGACTTTAACACAACTTACTGAGACAGATTCTAGAAAATTCTTTGTGGCTAGATGTGTATGTAATGAATGTTGAGTTTTTGCCCATTTCATTGAAGTATTGTTTTCTAAAAATGTTAGTAACTCTGGTCATGGGAACAGCACTGAACTTTATAAACTATTTTCACTGTAATTTTTTGGTTTTTTTTCTCATAAATGCCAAAAATATAAATGCTAGAAGTCCACACAAATGGTGACTACTTTCTTATTAAATTATTAAATTTATAGTTATTAGTGTATTATGTTCATCTTGTCATTCCTACAAAATGTCTGATGCAAGCAACCAAAGAAAAGAAGTGTTTATTTTGATTCAGGGTTCCGGGCACAGCACGTCATGGTGGGGATCACATATGGGGCTTGAGGCTGGACACAGCAGAGAGAAAGGGACATGGTGTGCGGCTCGCTCAGTTTGGACCCCCAGCCCATGGAATGGTGCTGTCCATAGCCACTGTGTGTTTTCCCAGTCCAGTTAATACAGGTAGGTAATCCCTCACGGGCTTGCCCAGAGGCGTGCTTCCTAGGTGATTTTGGATCTTGTCAAGGTGACAATATTAACTTTCACAGTGAGTTAGCCTTTAAAATTCATTACATAGTGTAATATTTTAGACAAGGTTTGTTTTCAGTCATGTAGAAAGCTAAAATTATCAACATTTTTAATGTCCTCTATTTTCTTATAAAGCAGAGGAACACACTACAAATTAACTTAAATCTAGTATATGCTGCCAGCTATAGAAAATGAGATAAACTCAGTAGATATCATGTCTCAGATTTTAGGAAATGGTCTACCTTACTCCAAGCAGTTCAGAACAATAACTATCATTGAAGAGTCAAGATTTCTTCACTTTTAAATGAATGGAACTCTTCCTCTGTGCTCAAGAGCTCTTCCTGTGTGAACCCTGTGCCTCGATGCCAGTTCTCCGCAGGAAGAGGATTTAATCTCAAGAAATAACATTTTATGCCTGTTTGCAGTCACAAGTACATTCTCCATTGTATATAAACACAGTCTGCTGGGGATGCTATGAATGTGTTTTTCTAATTGATTGATAAATAAAATGCTGATAGGCCAGTAACCAGGC